TGCCTGATAGCCTTGCCCCTGGTTGGCAACTTTTGAGGGTGAGGATGGGCTCATGAGTACTTGGCCATGGTCTCTGAATGTGTCCTGTCCTATGGCAACATAGACTGAAGCTCTCCCTTTTGGGCTAAGTGCTCATAGTTGCAGTTGGCCTTAGTGTGACTTCAGCACTTTCCAGAAGGTGAGGCTCCCAGAAATGCATCCCAACATTTCCCACATGAGGAGACAGTGTCTGTATGAACTGGAAATGAGGAGGTGATAATTTCTATTTGTAGGTAACTTAAACTCTTTAATCTTTTGAATGGGGGAAGGCTTGTTGAGAAGAGGGAGTAAAGCAGAGGTACTCAAAGTGGGTCTTCTGATTAGCAGCATCAGTGTCACCAGGTGGCTTGTTAGAAATGCATAGTCTAGACCCCACTCCAGACCTGCAGAATCAGAGACTCTGGGCTTGGGGTTCAGCAGTCTCATCCCCTCTGGGGGTAATTTTACTGCCAGTGAAGGTTGAGAACCTTGGTTCTAGAATGATGCTGAGTATGTGCCTGGTGCCTGACATGGTCAATGGTCCTCATCTCCAGCTGGGTATCAGACACGTATCTATATCTATATACATATACATATCTATATCTATATAGATATATAGATATATTTTTTTGAGACGGAGTCTTGCTTTGTCACCCAGGCTGGAGTGCAGTGGTGCAATCTTGGCTCACTGCAACCTCTACCTCCCAGGTTCAAGCAGTTCTCCTGCCTCACCCTTCAGAGGAGCTGGGACTACAGGCATGTGCCACCGTGTCCAGCTAATTTTTGTATTTTTAGTAGAGATGAGGTTTCACCATGTTGGCCAGGATGGTCTCGATCTCTTGACCTTGTGATCTGCCTGCCTCATCCTCCCAAAGTGCTGGGATTACAGGCGTGAGCCACCGCGCCTGACTGGGACATCTATATTTTTAACAAGTGTTCCGGGACATTCTGAAATGCAAGCTGATATTTTTTTTTTTGAATAATCATTGTAGAAGCCTGATACATACTGCATTGTTTACATAATAACCTCATATACACTTGGTTCAGGATAAGGGCGCTTCCTCTTTCCTTTTCCTCTTGCAGTTGTGGCTCCTTCTCTAATTGTCAAGGCCTTCTCTATTAGTCCTGTTACCCATTAAGTAAAAACAGTCATTCCCTTCCACATGCTCTTCCTCAGGCTGGATTGTTCACTGCCACATAAAAGCCACAAGTGGGTTTTATGGCCTCATGCATACTTAATTAGTCTGTCTTCTCAAAATTGTGTTTTAAATGAGAGAAAACATTAGCCTCTGATCTAATTGATCCACAAAGCATCATTTCAGAATCTTTGCATGACTTCACTGTTGACCCAGACTGGCGTCGCAGTCCAGCAGAAGGCCACAGGTCAAGGAGGGAAAGGCCTTACTACTTCCTGTCACCCCTGTGAGTTGCTCTGCAAAGAGCAGGTGGGAGCCAGGACAAGAGCTACAGGCATGGGCGTTATCTGTCTCTAAAAGAACTGATTATTTTCTGTTTTGCCCACAGCTGTCTCTGTCCCCATCACCCTTATCTGTCATCATCAGTGTGCACACCTGCATGATATTTTATGACACGGCACACCTGCTGAAATGGAGCAGTTGTCATGTTTCAGATTTGTTGTCTTGTGTGTATGTCATGAGGCATCATGGCAAAAATGAGATAGGGCTTCTGTTGTAACCCTTCCTCCCACTTTGTTACCCTCCAGCTTCATGGTGGGGTCCTAAAGCTGAAGACCTACCAGACTGCTTCAGCTGCCTCTCCAGGGGTGACTCTCTAGGGGACCCCACCCAGACATGTTCTTTTCCACTTCTGCATCCAGCTCCCTTTGGATCTCTCTCAAGACTCACACAAAGGCCTGGGTGAGGCTCCCCAAAGCCCCCTACCTCCCAGGTCTTTAGGCTGCCTTCCTTTATGTTCCCACATCGTGTCACCTATTATAAACCTCTGGTAGATCATTTATTCCATCATGTTTCTATGTATGTTTGTGTTGCAAAGGAAATAAATGAATTTGTTTTTACTTGCCCAGGCCCTTTAGAACTTCTTTGGGAGTATTTGAAAGCCATTTGAATGAGGCCAGGACTAGCTAAACTTCGTTTCTCAACAGCAGCAAATACCTGGTGTTTTAAAAGTGACAATCTAATCACATAACTAGGGCTGAGTGATTTGCAAGTTGGCCTTGACTTGGCTAGAAAGCACAATGGAAATAGGAGTTGGGATCAGAATGCCAGAGGTAGAGGGTGTCATAAATGTCATAACCCTGCTCTGCAGAGCTTGCCCAAGGCTAGGGCTGAAAGAGAGACCCCCAATAACGGGTGTCATGGCCTTACCCCCATGCTGCTCACTGCCATTAGAATCACCTGGGAGCTTTGAAAACATCCTAGGGCCCCCAGGCCGCTCCCCAGACGAGTTGGGTCAGAACCTCCTGGGTAGGACCAGGCCTTTGAAATTCTTAGCGCTCCCTAAGTGCCTCCAATCTGCAGGTAGGATTGAGAACCACGAGGCTCAAGGAGTTTGTTTAAATATGTGGGTTTCAAAATGAGGCTAAGAGGAATCACCTGGCTATAGCTTTTTTTTAGTAAAGGGAAATTGAATAGAGGCATGCTAATTAGCACAGGCGTGTGTTTGTATGTGCATAGATACATGTATCTGGACACTGCAGAGAGGTTGTATATGCTTGGATGTTTACAACAGTGTCCATATTTGTAGATTTGGAGGAAGGTTAGATCCATATGACTCTCCTTTTTGACCTTTCCTTAGCAGACACACCCAGTTGGTGAGCAGATCCAGCTCATTCTCCCTGAAATAGAACTCTGCCCTAAAATGCTCCTTCCATCTTTTCCTGTTCATTTCCATTGCCACTGTGTTGATGTGGCCTTTTCTTCTCCCCGCTCTCAATATGGCCCAGGTGTCTTCTCTGCTGGCATTCTTCCATCCTCCATTCACCACACCTGGTGTGACCCTCACACTATTAAACCTTTGCTGTTCTCCAGTGCTCACAGATAAATGATGATAATGATAATGGTTATAACTGACCCTTCCCTAGCATTAACATGTATGTGTTGTTGACTCCTGACACCAGCTCTGTGAGGTAGCACTCTTGTCGCCCTTTTATAGATGGGGAAACTAACGCGCAAAGTAACTTGGCCAAGGTCAGCCAGAGTCGGAATGGACCCAGGTGGTCTGGCCCCAGAGCCTCTGTTTTGCTGCGTCTCTCCATGTATTCCTGTCATGTAGGAAGGGAGAGGCTGCTCTTTGCTAACAGACTTTTCATCCATTACTTCTAATCTTCACATCCCTCCTGCTGAGTAGATACTATGATTCCTGTTTCATAGAATCCAGGCTGGGAGAGTTTGAATAACATGACTGAGGACACAGAGCTAAGGAAATAACAACAGGGATTCAAACCAGGTTTTCCTCCCTCCACCATCTGCATTCTATCTACTTAATTGCTCGGGATTGTCTAAATTCACCCCGTGGCATTTGTGGCTCCTTACAGTCTGTCCTCACCCCACCTTTCCAGCTATTTTCTTCCTTCCTTCCTTCCTTTCTTTTTTTTTTAAGCAAGGTCTTGCTCTATTGCGCAAACTGGAGTGCAGTGGCGCGATCTCAGCTCACTGCACCCTCCGCCTCCCGGGTTCAAGCGATTCTCCTGCCTCAGCCTCCTGAGTAGCTGGGATTATAGGTATGCACCACCACGCCTTGCTAAATTGTGTATTTTTAGTAGAGAAGGGATTTTGCGATGTTGGCTAGGCTGGTCTCGAACTCCTGGCCTCAGGTGACCTGCCCACCTTGGCCTCCCAAAGTGTTGGGATTACGGGTGTGAGCCACTGCTCCCGGCCCCAACTATTTTCTCTTCCATGATGAAATCATGCCACCCATCTTTGGCTCATGCTGTTCCTTTTGCCTGAAGTGTTCTTCCCTGCTCAGCGAGGACATCATTCAGCTGTTAGATCTCCCATGACAAGGACTCTTGTCTTGCTCATAGCACCCTGCATGGAATTTGCACACAACAGGAGAGAGTAGCCATCTCATTTTCTTACACTTCAAGAAGCCCTATAAGAGTGCATCTCATCGTGGCCCCCTTAGTGTGAGGTTTGCATCACACATCTCATCTCCAGTCCCTTTGTGTTATTCTTAGGTACATGTTTACCTTCTTGCTAGATGGCTTCTTCAGACCAGGTATCCTCTCTCCATCACTTTTCTCTTGTGTCTAGGGCATTGCCTGGCAAGCAGCAGATGTTCGGTATATATTTGTTTAACAAATGTAGGGCAGACAAGAATACAAAAAACGGGGAAATCATAATCAGTTGGAGGGCAGTTGGCAGAGTCATAGTGCTTAGAACAGTCAGGGGTGTATTTACCTGATGGCCTCTAGGGAAATGTACACTGTTTGGAAATTTCCAGAAGGAAGCAAAGAGCAAATGAATACCCCACTGGGCTAATTTAGCTTGTCCATTTTGCCACTTAGGTTTTGTTAAGTTTGTTTTTATTTTGAGATGGGGAACAGGCTTTGCTAGCCTCCTGCGGAAAATCCCCTGGTTCCTCTGTCTTCCTGGCATGGACTTTATCCCTAGTATATATTTGGGATTGTGTACAAACTGCGGACTTCAGGACTTTTATAGGACTTCATGGGCGGTCTGTGGTGGAGGTTTGTGGGGGTGGGGAAAGCAGTGTTTCCGGAAGAGGGAAGACGCTTTCAGGATGGAAACAGGTGCCAGAAAAAAACATTTTTGCTACTGGGAAAGTGAATTCGTTAACCGTTGAATTAGGGTTATGATACTAAATAAACGTCTTTCTGATTCGTCAGGTTAAAAGGCATTTACACAGCTGCCTTTTTGCACCTGGCACAGGAGGCCAGGTGGGAGGGTCCCGGGGGAAGGACAGAGCGCACTGTCAGGCGGGAAGGAGAGGCCTCCTGGGCATCTCCTTGGATTGTCTCTGACATTTCTTCTTGCCCCCTTCAGGTGAGCGTCCTGACCACCCTGGAGCGTAGGTTCAACCTGCAGAGCGCTGACGTGGGTGTGATCGCCAGCAGCTTCGAGATCGGGAACCTGGCACTCATCCTCTTCGTGAGCTACTTCGGGGCGCGCGGGCATCGGCCGCGCCTAATCGGCTGCGGCGGCATCGTCATGGCGCTGGGCGCGCTGCTGTCGGCGCTGCCAGAGTTCCTGACCCACCAGTACAAGTACGAGGCAGGCGAGATCCGCTGGGGCGCCGAGGGCCGCGACGTCTGCGCCGCCAATGGCTCGGGCAGCGACGAGGGGCCCGACCCCGACCTCATCTGCCGCAACCGGACGGCTACTAACATGATGTACTTGCTGCTCATTGGGGCCCAGGTGCTCCTGGGCATCGGTGCTACCCCAGTGCAGCCGCTGGGCGTCTCCTACATCGACGACCACGTGCGGAGGAAGGACTCCTCGCTCTATATAGGTAGGAGCTGCCCCAGCCGTGTTAGCGAGAGACCGGGGTGTGTTGACGGTGGATAAAAGGGTGGCCTGGTGGACTTTGATTTTGCCGTTGTACTGATTCTCAGACTTGGCTGCACACCTGGTGTTCTTGAAAAATACTTATGCCTGGGGTTGCAACCTGGGCATTGAGACGTTTTTAAAAGTTCCCAGGTGATTCTCATGAGCAGCCGAATTTGAGCTCCAAGGGACTAGACCACTAACTGATTCAGTGGGAAAACATGACCGGGAGGAGTTGTATGTTTCTCTCTTCTTTTTGGGCGTGTATGTGGACTTTGGGCCTTCTGATGTTAGCCACCAATGTATACTTGGGGTCTACACATTGGAAACTGCAGCTTTGAAGAATCAAAATGATGTCCTGGTGATTGTCCTATTGCAGCTCAAAAGGAGAGGTGATGGCTTTGCCAGCATTTGGCATCATTCAAAGTTGGTGACTTCCGGTAATTTTTTCAATAACGGAAGTATGCATGGGAATTGGGTATTTAGAGAGAAATAAGGTATTTGTGTTTTGAAAAGTTATTTTTCACTGTCAGTTTCCGATGTTTTATACTGGAAGGATGGAAACCACTTGTGGGTGGGGGTTAAGAATCATCTGAGTGGCAAGTTATTTATTATGTGGCGGGCGGTGTTTTCAGTCTCTGTGGTGGGTTCTGTTGGATGGCTGCGTGTGAGGTGAGAGCTGGCCAGCCCAGCATCTCTATCCCTTGTTTACAAAGTATAATTTTGTCTCCTGTCAGCTGCTGGATTTTTCTGACACATCCTCAGTCACTGAGTGCTAAGCTTTGAAAAAATTACCTCTACCCAGGGAAGCTTTTTGCCTCCCAAAAGCAATGTGCCTTGAGGTAGAAAGTTAATTATATTATGGAGGTATAAGTGAAAATAGAATTTGAACTGGATTTGACATAAAGGTTCCTAACTGCCAAGCTTCAAGCTTGCTGAGATAGGACGGTTTGGAAGCAGGATACACTGGAATGCGGATTTTTCTCTGTGTCTTTCTGGCCTAGCTTTGGAGTAGATGCATTTACTGAACATGTATGTTGCACACAGATGTTCTGACTGGCTGTGAACAGGCTCTGGGCAGGAAAGGTGGAAGGAATGTGCGTCTCCATTCAGAGGATGGAGCACCAGTGTGCCTAGTCACCACCTACCTATGGAACAAAGTGGAAAAGAAAACGGCTCAGGCCAGAGATGGTTAGGGGTTTCCATTTGGGTATGGTGGAGGAAGGGAACTAAGGTAATCGTTTTTCTTTCGTTGCCTTAAAGCTTGAGTGAAAGCCGCTCCATGTGAGTTTTTTGCACACCAGATCATGGACTACAGCATGTAGCCACAAAAGTCTCCTGAGGTCCACCCTCTGACTTGACTGATGTCACCCTAGGCCTCTGGGAGAGTGGGTTTCTGGTAGAAATAACAGGAAGTAGATCCATCAGAGCACAGGGAATGAAATGGGGAGTGAAAACCTGAGTTGTTGTCTCTGCTCTTAGAATCAACTAGAAAAATTTCTCCCCAGAGTCACCTCTGAAGTCCCAACAGTGCTGTATCACTTCTGCCTAGGGCTTCCAGCCATAGTCGCTGAACCCTGTTCTGGAAGTGTCTCCTGATGAGTTAAGTTGTGCTATTTCCCTACACTGGGTGAGGGTTGGTTTGAATGTGCCAAAAGCTTTATGGTGAGGAAGCACTTTGGTTTGGGACATAGGGGTGTGGGAGGTGGACGCATGGACTGTAGGGCTGATCATTTGAGGCAGGAGGTCTTCTTGAATTCTGAGGCCTTGTCTATGGGATTTGCATTGAGTCTTTGGTAGGAAGAACTATTCAGCCAAATTTCTATTTGGTCACCCCATTCCTCTATGATAAGTCTGCATTTGGGGAGTGTTTCTTTGCATGACGTATGAACATCTTGGTGGCTCTTTTACATATGGCCAGATTCCAAAACATCGTAGCCCATGCCGTGGAGATGATAGTTCTGTGTCTCTGCACTGGTTTCATGAGTTTGTGTTTATAGGGATCAGGAGAGGAGAAATCTTTTGCATAGATTGACCTCAATAGGTGGCCTTTTATTCCATACATGGTTTATCTCCAGGTATAATTTAAGGTCATAGCATATGCAGAGCATAACTGGTTCATTTATTTATTGTATGAGCTATAAAAAAAGTGTGTGTGGTAGTGAGAATATTTCAAAGTGTATCTCCTCTAATATGGCACTAGTTCCTGAAGCCACTTAACTTTACTTCAGAGTATTTGGGGTAGCCCACTGAACAGTATTGATATAAAATTCTGGTCTCTTAACTCCCTGAAGAGGAGGAAAGTCTCAAGGGACTGATGCTGGGACCCTAGGTGTAAATGTGTATCCATAGGGGAGGAATAACATGTGTACCCCTGGTTCCAGCTCCTGCAGAGCTGGTCTAGAGAGGGGCCCACAACCAGCTGTCTGATCATATGCCTAAATTGTAATACCATAGTGGAGATTGAAAGGATTCTAAATATGGCATGTGTAAAACACCAGCTTGTTCTTGAGCTGAGCCTTTCCTGTGGGTGTCAGCAGGGAAGAGAATGATCAACATGCACAGCTCAGGCTGCAGATCAGTGGTGATGATACCTGCCCCTGGGTTGCCCACATCATGGGTCACTAGATGGGTGCTGTTTGTACATTGGTGGCTGTGTCATAGCTTCCACTACAACCCAGGGCAAAGTGAAGCATTCCATCCTGAATCAAGCTGATATTTTCCAGTGAAATGACTTACTTGCTTTGACCTCTTGTGGCTGAGCCACTGCCAGACTCCTGGATTCCTGGATGGGCTATTCACAAGGGGCTCCTCTGGCTGGCACCATTCTTCAGCCAGTCCTTTCCATTGTGGGAGGGAGCCAAGGGAACTCATTACCAGGGGACAAAACTGGATGAATGGGGACTCAGCTCTGCTGGCAGGCTTTCACTGCGGCATCATGTGGCACCCAGCCTCACAGTCCAGCCAGATAGTGACCCGTGGGTGGCACGTGGCACTCTTTGTTCTTAGAGTGACTGCATGGGCATGGTGGCAGTGGAGACCATGGGGCCCCTACTGAGGTCCGAGAATCCATTCTTTGGGAGTCTAGTCATGCCTCTAGCTCCATGTTGTGACCTTCCATTAACCCAGTTTTCTTAGCTGTCCTTCTGTTTCTCTAAGTTCAAAACACAAGTCGTATTTGCTTTTTATGAAAGTGTAAGTAGGATGATGTAATGGACTTACTGTGCTCTTTCATTAGGTTGCCCCCCCTTTTTTTTCCAAGGAGGAAACGGTGAAATGGGAGTAGTAAAAAGATTTCTAAATAACTTTATTCCTAGTTAAAAAGCATTACATGTTCACTGTTTACAATTTTGAATATGTAGAAAAAGAATAATTAGAGAATATTTACTTGTAGCTTTATGGTGTACATAATTCCATTCTCTTTTCTGCATTAGTATGCTTTTCTATGAAAGTATGTTCATGATAAATGATATTTTGTAATTTCATTTCTCTTAATATTTCATGAGAATTTCCTTGTTACTAAATATTCTATGACATTATTGCTGCATATATAATATTCCCTTCTGAATATATATGATAATATTTAATACTTTCTATAGTTGGACATGGATTTTTAAAATTTTTGCTGTTTTAAACAAAGCAGATGGTAAAGTGTGATTCTGAGAGGTTGAGTAACTTACCCAAACTCACTTGCCTGGATAGGGCTGGGCTGTGCATCTAAAAGTGACGCTTATTTCAGGTATGTCTGGGATCTGCTCACAAGGCTGGGATGGGAGCTCAAGGGTGGTGCCTGGTCCTAGGAGTCAGGTACAAGCCAGGGCATTCCACGAGACAGCCCGAAGCCTCCTGGGCATAAAAATTGCTGCAGGAGCCAGGAAGGTGGGAAGACAGCAGTGTGTCTGGAGTCCAAGGAGAGAGGTGCTACTGAAATGGAGAATGAGTGTCAGAGCCAGAATGGAGAGTTAGAGGTAGGATGGAGAGAGAGGAAGATGGTCTTAGCTAAGGTTCACGTCTGGGTTCTGAAAAGAGCTTGTGCCCCTGTTTCATAGTGCTTTGAGCTGAGATGGCTGCATATCAGACCTTCGACATCTGGGGCAGCAGCAGCTGACCTGTTCCATCTTTTGCTCAGCTCTTTCCAGTAATGTGGGCGCCATACCTTCACATGCCATTCATTCTGTTTTTGAACTGCAGTAGCCACTAGGAGGTGTTTTTAAATGTTGTGTTAGAAATAGGCCACCTTACAACTTCTCATACCCTGTGTTCTGGTTATACCCTCTGGATCTACCATGAAAAATCCCTATCCCTCTTCCATATTTTGATGGCTCCCCAAATAGTTGAGCACTAACCTTTCATGGGTAGGCAGAGGGTATCTAAAGCTTGGCTCTTCTAGGCTAAGACCTTTGCTCTATGCTTGATGGGGTTTCCTACCATACTTCCTTCTTAAGAGGGATGCCAAGGGCTGGGGAGCTCATTACCAGAGGACAAAACCAGATGAATGGGGGATGTGGGATATGGCATTGTATTAGTTTGCTAGGGCTGCCTTCAGCAAACACCACAGACTGGGTGGCTTAAATGACAGAAGTGTATTTTCTTATAGTTTTAGAGGCTGGAAGTCTTAAGATTAAGGTGCCACAGGGTTGGCATCCTCTGCGGTCTCTCTCCTTGAATTTCAGATGGTTGCCTTTTCTCTGTGTCCTCACGTGGTCTTTCTTCTGCATACACATCCCTGGTGTCTCTCTGTGTATCCAATTTACTCCTCTTACAAGGTCACCAGTAAGATTGGTTTAGACCCACCCATATTAGTTCATTTAACCTTAATTGCCTCTTTAAAGAACTTGTCTCCAAATATAGTCAGTCACATGCTGATGTTCTGGGGGTTAGGGCTTCAATATATGAATTTGGGGGAAGGAACACTATTCAGCCTGTAACAGACACCAAAGAGATCAGTACCAAACTAAGACTGCA